CGGAAGCAGCTCCACACTCGAACGGAGCTCCACAGCCCCTCAGGAAGAAGCAAAGATGGTGCATGGAGCGAGGTACTTGAGCTAAAGGAGGGGGAGGTGGGGAGAGGTAAGGAAGAAATAAGAAGTGGAAAAAAAGCAACACCAGCAGCCAACAAATGGCACTCAGACAGCCACCCGTTCGGGTGTGTGGAATCCAAGCAGCCACTGTTTCCTGGTCAAGAGACTGTGGCTGCGGGAAGCAGAGGAGGCAGAGTCAGGCTGAAGAAGGGTTGGGGGTGGGAAAGCGTATATCACCAATTTCCGGTTGTTTTGTCTCCCGCTGGAATCTCTGTGAGGCTGCTTTCTCGTACCCCGTTTGCTGGTCTCCGATAGGAGTTCAAGATGGCGGATCCGCGCTGCATTAGCTGGTAGGGGACCTCTGCATGAATCTCTCCCCGGTCTCTGTTCTCTGTCAGTTTTCTCACTCCATTTGGTGCTTGGTTGAGTTCTTAATCTTTTCATTTGATGTTTTACGGTTTCAGGATTGTTGTATTCTCTGTTCGGCTTAGTTTTTCAGATCTTTGTTGTGGAGGGACGGCGTGGTGCTTCTGCCTAGAGCGCCATTTTGCCGGAACTCCTCGCAAGAGATTGTTTTAAAGAAGATCTTAACCTAAAGTTGTTTTGGTTTTAATCCCCTTTGGTTATACAGGAGCACTATTGATGCAGTCATACATGGGTGTAGAGAAAGGAAGCAGCATATAGTCGTATGATTGGATTTTAGTGTTCTAGTGAGCCTGATCTTCTCAATTGGCACCTTCACAGATATTTCACAGCTCTTCTCCTCCTTCTTTAGGTGAGACCAAAATCCTAGATGGGATTGCAATTGAGTCCTTCCCTTTCCCCATGTCATTTAGACTCTTTAAAATCCCAGTTGGTTAAAGATCTGTTGAAATAGTTCCCTTTGAGGACTTTTTTCAAGGAGAACAGAATGCTTTGAGTGTATTTTAAAATGGCTACTTTTCCCTCCCCTACTGGCAGCACAAGGGGATTTTTCTCCAGTCATCACAATGAGCACTTAGTAGGGCTCCTGGAGCTAAAACTCAGGAAAGTGAGGGGGCCTCCCTGACTCGGCCCTCGAGTGGATTTCGTGCTATTCATCTTTAAGTTTTTCTGCCCGAGTACTGGTATCAGCAGCAGCTTCTCATACGTAGCTTTTTCTTGTGTAAAATGTCGTTCTCTGTATTTGCCTGTGTGTTCAATTTCAGGGGAAGCATTTTGCTCTATGACTTCAATTCTCTGATAGATCTAAGAAGAATTGTTGATTTTCAGTTTGTTTAGTTTTTTTCTTATAGTGGACAATAGTAATGACTTCCAAGCTGCATGCCAGACCATAATAAATGTGTAGTCTGCTTTTTTCTGTCATCAGTATGTCTTTTATTTTCATGTTTCTCTCTTTATACTCTTCCTTTATGCTGCTTTTAATTTTCCAGTGTCCCAATTTACATTTAGCTTATTGCTAATCAGCCTTTTTTGTTTTCTTGGATTGAGCTATGTTTCTTCCTTCTGCTGGGCATGAAGGCCATTGGAGCCCTTTGGATCCTGTCTCTACATTGGGACTTGTTGAAGCGGACAAGCATCTGAAATCTTTATTGTTTATTTACTGTCTACACCCATACTATTTAGGAGTGTGAGCATTCACATATTTCTATTTTCTTCACTGCTGTATCTGCTGTGCCTGCATGAAGTAGGTTCTGTGTAAATTTTACCTAAATCACTTTAATTGGCTGAAGTAGCTGGTGATAAGTACTTTAGAGCAAGATTTATGCCTGAGAAACAGAACTTTTATGGGAGGAATATCTCAAGGTTGTCTGAATTGAATATGATGTTTCCTTTCTCTCCTTGGAATAGTGTATAGTCGGGCTGTAGGGTATTTATATTGTTATTGTGGAAGAACAGCCAGAAGAGCAAAAAAGTGTATGCATATACACAGAAGCAGAGTTGTAAGGAATTAGGTATCAAATACAAATGAGCCCTGCATTCTGATCCTAGCTTGTCCAGATTCTAATTGGGCAACTTTGAGCTTATGGTTCTTTCTTTATTTTCCTCAGGTAGCTATAAACATATTTCAAATAATGTGTGTTTAGTACTGTCATCATATGTGGTGTGTTACGGTTTTTGAAAAGTATTTTCTGTATTGTACTTAATAAATTCAACATTTTGTTGTTAATATATATTGTAGTAATATGTGATCATGTGTGTCTGTGAAAAAGAGGAACATCCTCAACGAGATGGACTGGAACAGTGGGTTCAATAATGTGATCAAAGACGACAGCCTTCAGTATGGATTACACCTCAACATAAAACAAAAATCCTCACAACTGGATCAATAAGCAACAGTATGATAAACAGAGCAAAGAAGTTGTCAAGAATTTCATTTTATTCGTATTCACAATCAATGCTCATGGAAGCTGCAGTCCAGAAATAAAATATTTCATTTCACTGGGTAAATCTGCTACAAAAGACCTCTTCCATGTGTTAAAAACCAAAGATATCACCTTGAGGACTAAGGTGCACCTGACCGAAGCCATGGTGTTTTCAGTGGCCTTATATGCATGTGTATGCTGCTCAATGAATAAGGAAGATCTAAGAACTGATACCTTTGAATTATGGTGTTAGCAAAGAATATTGAACATAACATGGACTGCCAGAAGAATGAACAAATCTGTCTTGGAAGTACAGTGAGAATGCTCATTGGAAGCAAAGATGTCGAGACTTTGTCTCACATACTTTGGACATGTCATCGGGAGGGACCAGTTCCCGGAGAAGGACATGCTTGGTAAAGTAGAGGGTCTGCAAAAAAGAGGAAGACCTTTACTGAGATGGATTGACACAGTGGCTGCAACAGTGGGCTGAACCATAACGATTGTGAGGATACTTCATGACTGGGCATTGTTTCATTCTGTGGTACATGAAGTCACTGTGAGTTGCAACTGACTCGACGGCACCTAACAACAATAGCAGTATGTGTTAGGATTTTTCATGACTTTAAAATACATAACCGGGTTACCTGTAATGGAGGAGATTTTGGGGTTTTGTCGATGGAAACTTGTTTTAACATCATTGTACCAGGAATGATTGGGGATGACGTAGACAGCTTACATCACCTACTTCCATTCCAAGAGGAGCCTTCCTGTTTTACAGCTGCTCAGCTGTTCAGTGTAGTGTTAGCATTGGAAGTGTTATATAGCAGCCTTTTGTCTCCTCACCGCATGTGGAAGCCAGTCTGTTGAATCTGTTTCTCAGAGTCTCATCCTTACACTTCAGGTGGTTGCAGACATCAGGCTTGAAGTAATCATTTGGTCACGTGGCTTTTATGGACTGCCAACATAAAAAATTTTGAAGTAGAATCTCCACCTGGCAGGTGTGTAAGTTTGTTAGGAGTTTTGGGCGATTTAATGGGTAAACCCTGTACGCTTCAATTAACTTCCTTACAAAATGGGAATCTTAACCTGTTCTTCATGGTCAGCAAATACAAGACCATGCTGTTAAGCCCTTTGCAGATATAAAGGTTGTAAAATTGGCTTTGGGGCAGTATTTGACCTCCTCCAACCCCACAAGGGCGAAGGAGAACCAAGATCAACAGCCCAAGGCTGATTCCTATGAGGTGGAGGTCAGACAAACCCCCGTCTCTGCCATCCTTACCAACTCTGACACCAATCATCCCTCCCACAGCACTGTCTACTGGGTTTGATAATTCATCATGATGGCCACACAGAACTCAAAGGCCGTACTCACGATTATGGGGCTCGTTGTAAGGGGAGTAAGTTACAGTTCAGGCTGAAGAACACTCAGGGTACAGTTCTTCCATCAGGATAGCCTCTCCCAGCTGTGCTCACAGGCACACCTCTCCCTGGCCCTCAGTGTCTGCCCAACGGCACTCAGCTTTCTCTCTCTGTGGCCAGAAAGCCCACCGTATGGTGTCCTGCTGCTGGGTTTCTCCTGCTGGTGTCCCCTTCCTTAGGGGTGGTGGGCTCCTCTCTTTGCTCTTCAGTTGGCTGTCTTTAATACAAAACTGACCAATCCTTTTGGTAGGCCGTGATTACCGTATCACTCAGTCGTCTGGGTGGGAGTTACAAGACCATGGCTAGAAAGGCCACACACAAAAGTAATTAATCCATCGCAGGGGTTTTTGTCATCTTAATACATTAGAGTGTGCTTATGTGGGTTTCTCGGTGTCCGTTTGTTCTGTAGAGTGGTCAATTATAATCAGATTAAAAGTTTGATAGTTGTGTGAAGATCTAGAATTTCGTGTTCACTGTCTTCTCACCTGCCCTCTGTTAACTTTTCAATCCCCTTGCCTATTTCCATGAAAGAGAGAGGATGACAGTGCAACTTTTGAAGTATTGAAAAATTGGTAATAGACATGTAAAAATTTATAATTCTTAGAATAGTTTTTCTCAGGTGGTCTTGTCACCTTTGTTGACCTGAGTTACCAGTTGTTTTGGTAGGCCTGTCATGGCTATTGAGGGACACAAGGAAAAACCACCAGTCCGTCAGTGTTTCCTAGATATTAATATCCTACTTGTTTTGTTGACTGTTCTGGTGGGTCTTATGGAAGGCAGTAAAATTGTTTTTTTTTTTTTCCGCAAATGATGATGTGAATGTGGAAATAGCCCTTTCATTTGTAGAGGGTTTCTCCTTTCTGCTTTAGTTCTGGTTCTTCTGGAACATAAATATACAGAGAGATGAGGCCGGAATTGGTCAGTGTCAAACTGTGGACAGAAAAATTCAGTGTTTTAGAAACATATTGTTAAACTTATGAGATAGGATGCCAAGAGTCAAGACGTAAATGTAGACAGCAAAAGGAAGAGCCTAATGGCCAAACTCTAGAGTAGAACACAGAGAGTTTTGTGACTTTTCTGTGAATTCTCTGGTTCCCTGCACTAATAATCTCACTTGAGCTTTCACACACATTGTGGAAGATGATACCTTGCTGATCCAGAGTATGTGGGTTATTTTAGGACTCAGTGGTGTTTGAGGATGTGGCCGTGGACTTTACCGAGGAAGAGTGGGCTTTGCTGAATTTTGCTCAGAGGAAACTCTACAGAGATGTGATGATGGAAACCTTCAGAAACCTGGCCTCGGTTGGTAAGGAGGATTTCAGTTTTCTTTTTCATTAGTGAATGAAAATATTGTACTAATGGACCTTGTTTCAAGGTTTGGGTTGAGGAATGGGAATACATTGGAACACCTGACAAATGTTCACTGCCCTCATGGAGCTTAGCTCTGGAGTCGTTCCTCTGAATGCAAAAATCTGCACATTAAACTGAGTTTGTATCTCTTCTTTTTAAAATCTTTGAGGGTCTTTAGGTGTTGGAAATGTGAGCACTGGCTTGGGAGGTCTGTGAGCACTGGCTTGAGGGGTCACTTTGGACACGGAGAGATTTGTGGATTGGTACCTCACTAGAATTTTACCGTGTTTATTACAGATTTGATAGAATTATTTTGTGGTAAATAAACTCATAACAGTCCATCTATAGAGACTCTGGTGGCCAAAGTATTGTCACATCAGATCTCGCACTGGATGCAATGTCAGGGAAATTTTGCTTTATACTGTCTTCAAAATCTGCCAATCCCCATGAAAACCATGTCACCCACACCCACTTGTTCTCCCGGGGAAAGACCTAAGGAGAGTTGAGTTACTCTTTCCTTATTCAGAGCCATCGTGTCAGGATGCACTAGGAAGGCAAGAATCCTTTGAAGGATGAACCCTGCATGGAGGGAATTACATTTGAATAAATCAATTTGAAAAAGTTTTGGTTTGAGGAGGCTAAACTTCCACATATACTTGAGCTTATTATTGTTTCCCTTTCCATCAGTATTCTTACACCTTCTATATTCAGGGAACAGATCTCCCTTATTTCTCTTTTAACATTACCATTGCACACATGCATTGTTTCCCGTACCTTTCTACTGTGCTTTCCTGTACACCCTATTTATGACAGCATTACTTTCAATCATCAAGAAATAATTTCTTAGTAAATTGCTTACTGTTTTGACCATTGCGAAAATCCCAGAATATCCATATGCCTCAGTGTCATTCTTTGCTCACAGGTGCCTTCTTCCTTATAAAATCTCCTTACCATTCTGTTTCATATTGTGAAACTATAATTAAAATTATTGGATCAGTTTCTCAAAAGGTTGATAAAGAACAAATGGTGTCCACTGAACATTTAATAATGCGATTCATGAAGAATAACTTCCAGTATACCATTTTAGGAGAAACTTGTGAATTCCATGGCTTTGAAGAGCAGTGTAACAACCAAGGGAGGCATATAAGGTGAGTATCATTCCTATGAGTGTGAACAGCACCTTATCATAATGTCATAAGGTATCATGATGTGTGTGTGTACAGAACTAAAATTTCGTGTTCATATAATTTCACAACACTATATGTTCATAAATACGAATGAGATATTGAGTACTTGAAACCTTTCACTCATATGCAGGTATTATAACGCCCCATTATTTAGAATGTAACAATAATAGAATTGACTTCTAGTAGACAATCTGTTCAACGTGAGATGACTCAGAGCAGAAAACATACATATTTACTGTGTACTATAATTATTTTCTGGTAACAAACAATTCAAGCAACGTGCTGTCCCTTTTTGACAGATGGCATACAGATGAGAGTCTCCATGAAAGTAAAGAATGGAAAGAAAAGGAAAAGAAAGAAGGTAATCAGTGTGTAAAACTTTTCAGCAAGATTGCATGTCTTACCGGGCTCAAAAGAACTCTTGCTAGAGAAAATCCTTCTAAATGCTGTGAATGTGGAAAAGCTTTCCAGTATCATTCTTCATTTAAATGTCACATCAGATCTCGCACTGGATGCAATACCTATCAGTGTAAGGAATGTGGAGTGGCCTGTAGTTCCTCTTGCCTAAGCACTCATGTAAAAACTCTCACTGTAAAGAATATTTATAAATGTAAGGAATGCGGTATCGCTTGTAGTTGTTCCTCATCCTTCAATACCCGTGAAAGAACTTACAGTAGAGAGAGGCTTAATGAACGTGAGGAGTTCGAGAAAGCTTTTGGTCAGTTCTCAGCCCTCATTGAACATAAAAAAATTCAAAGTGGAAGGCAATATTATCATAAGGATTATGTGAATACCTTTAGTTTTTCCTCATCCCTCAGTAAGCATATTAGTATTCATAATGGAGTGAGTCCTTCTGAAAATAAGGAATGTGAGATAGCATTTAGTAACTCCTCAGAGCTGACTAACCATTTAAGAACTCACAGTGGAGTGCAGCCTTATGAATGTAAGGAATGTGGGAAAGTCTTTAGTTGTGCTTCATACCTCACTGCACATGTAAGAATTCACAGTGGTGAGAGGCCTTATAAATGTAAGGAATGTGGGAAAGCCTTACGTTATTCCTCATCTTTCAGTAAACATAAAAGAACTCACAGGCAAGAGAGGCCTTATGAATGTAAGGAATGTGGGAAAACCTATATTTGTGCTTCACACCTCACTACACATTTTTTAAGAACTCACAGTGGAGAGAGGCCTTACAAATGTAAAGAATGTGGGAAAGCCTTTAGTTGTTCCTCATCCCTCATTACACATACAAGAACTCACAGTGGAGAGAGGCCTTATGAATGTAAGCATTGTGGAAAAGCCTTTAGCCAGTTCTCAAACCTATTGAATCATATAAGAACTCACAGTGGAGAATGGCTTTATGAATGTAAGGAGTGTGGGAAAACCTTTAATGAGTCCTCAAACCTGATCAACCATATAAAAACTCACAGTGGAGAGTGGCCTTATGAATGTAAGGAATGTGGAAAAGCATTTACCCGGTCCTCAGACCTCACTACACATACAAGAATTCACAGTGGAGAGAGGCCTTATGAATGTAAGGAATGTGGGAAAGCATTTATCCAGTCCTCAACCCTCAGTAGGCATATAAAAACTCACAGTGGAGAAAGGCCTTATGAATGTAAGGAGTGTGGGAAAGCATTTACCCGGTCTTCAGCTCTCACTACACATATAAGAATTCACAGTGGAGAGAGACCTTATGAATGTAAGGAATGTGGGAAAGCATTTAGCCAGTCCTCATCTCTCACTACACATACAAGAACTCACAGTGGAGAGAGGCCTTATGAATGTAAAGAATGTAGGAAAACCTTTAGTCAGTCCTCACACCTGATTAACCATATAAGAACACACAGTGGAGAGTGGTCTTACAATTGTAAGGAATGTGGGAAATCTTTTTGTAATTCCTCAAGCTTCTGTAGACATGTAAGAAGCCATAGTGGAGAGAGGCCTTATAAATGTACGGAATGCGGAAAAGTCTTTACACAGTCCTCATCTCTCACTCAACATAAAAGAACTCACAGTGGAGAGCGACCTTATGAATGTAAGGAATGTGGGAAAGCATTTAGCCGGGTCTCAAACCTCACTAGACATATAAGAACTCACAGAGGAGAGAGGCCTTTTGAGTGTAAAGAATGTAGGAAAGCCTTTAGTTTGCGCTCAGCCCTTACTAGGCATATAAAAACTCATAGTGGAGTGAGGCCTTACAAATGTAAGGAATGTGGGAAAGCATTTATTCGGTCCTCAGCTCTCAATACACATATGACAATTCACAGTGGAGAGAGGCTTTATGAATGTAAGGAATGAGGGAGAGCGTTTAGCCAGTCCTCATCTCTGTCTGACATACAGGAACTTGGAGTGGGAAAAGGCCTTATCAGTGTAAGGAATGTGGGAAAGAGGTACGCCTCAGCTTTCACTCACTATATAAGAACAGTGAAAACAGGCCTTATGAATGTACGAAATGAGGGAACATCTTCAGTTCTCTCTCGGCCACTTGAAAATGTGGAAGAATACACTGAGGAGAAGTATATATTGCACATATGACAGGTCCTACACATGTCAAAGACTAGGGAAGTCTTCAGGGTGCGTACTTCTTTTGGACCTGTATAATACCTTACATACTGGAGAGAGTTGGACTAGAAGCAAAGAATGTTTTCGTTTGTAGCACATGACTTTGGATAAGTATCACAATGTTAATTTGGTTCTGTTGTATAAAAATGGCCTGTAATACAAACTCTCATCAACCCGTGGAGTCTTAACTTTTATGGTTTCTTTTTACTCTATTGTTTTTTAAGATTTTTATTTATATTTTTTCTTATTATAAAGCAGTATGTTCTTGATATACAGAAATTGGATTTTAACAGGAATTTGGGAGGAAAAGCAAAAATCACTCAGAATTCTACCAATCTTATTATTTTGTGTTTTTTTTTAGTCTGCTGTGTGTGCAAAGTAGTCACTTCCTAAAAAATCTGAATTGTACATCGTGTGTAGTGTTACATTGGAAATTTTTTCATTGTCTTTTAAAATTTTCCAGAACTACTATGTTTCTTACTTTATGAATGGGAAAACTGCACAGAAAATTTTAACTCACATCCCACCATTTCATAAAAATGTCCCTCTCAAATGGTGCTGTGAGAAGCAGGATTTTCATTGAAGGAGGGCTCACATTGAGGTTACGTGGAAATGGTGGACCTGCACAGACACACAACCTGATCTAAATTCAATGGAACTTGTGGCCAGCTCAGTCCTTTTGGTAATTTTGTCATTCAAGGAGAGTACACTAGGCCAGGAGTTGAGGCTGCAGTTGCTGGACTGGGCTGGATTGGTGGCTGCTTATGTACCTGGGGTATATACCTGCTACAAGGCCTGTAGGTTTATAGAGAGCTGCTCTGCCCCGTGGTGACCTAGGATCTTTTTCTTGACTTCTCATGTAAGTGGCTTGGGAAATGGTGGTAGTAGGTAGCAAAAATCTTCAAAGTAGGCCTCCCATTGGCCGAATTGCCCTTTCAGAATCATTTTTTGGACTTCCTTGGGCACCGTTGTTTGTGTACCTTGGTAATAGTGCTACATTGTGGAAATAGTGAAAGAAGAGAAATGGTGTCAGTGTTCAACAGGGAGTTTTTAGATAATTGTTTAGCTACATGTCACAGTGTTGTACTACTATTAAATGTGTTTCTTTAGAAAAATTTAGTCCACAGGAGGTAAAACAATCATAAGTTTTACTTGTGATGCACAGGGTATAAAAGCATTTACATAGTGGTGGCCGTTTTATAAAATACTTATGTATATGGACAAATCAGCTTGTGGAAATTTGTCTTAAGGGTGGGACTAAGTAATTTCTTTTGTCATAAAACCAGTACCAAAATGAAAATATAAAACAGCTCCCTCTACAAAAAATTCACTAGTACTGACACTTTTTAGTCATGAATCTCTGGCACTTGTCCATATACGTCATGCTGTATGTATTTTTTGGATTGTGGCTACTGTTATTTAGCGTAAATGAGTTTCAGATTTATGCAGGTTAATAAATGTATTGACAGTTTATTCTTTTTTATTGCTGTACAGTATATTGTAGACTTAGCACAGTTTGTATATTCGTCAGGTTGAGTATATGAATTTGCACTATTTTGTTCTTTGACTTTTTAAATAAAATTGCTGTAAACGTTCATGCAATGGGTTTATGTGAACATAAGGTTTCATTTTTTTAATCTGTATCTCTGTGAGTGGGATTGGTGTGTCATGGTAGGTGTATGATTACCTTTATCAGAAACTTCCAATCTGTTTCTCGAAGGGGCTGTGCTATTTCATATTCCACCAGCGGTGTATAATTCCAGTTGCTGCTAGCATTTGGAGAGGCTGTTTCCAGAGCAATAAAACACACTTCTGATTGCTTCTGTTTTCAGAAGAGGGATTTGGGTTGGCAGCTCACCTGATAGGCATTCCATATTTGTGAGAATAGTATGTGAAATGTAGCACATGGATTAGTCCTTTCTTTCTGCAGTGTCCTTCATTGTCCTCCATACATTCATAACTGGCAGAATTGTAATGTAAAGCCCAACTCCATTATCACAGATCAGGGAAAAATGGTGTATCTGCAGCAGAAGCAGTAAATTGACAACCAGGACGATGGCCAATATGTGGCTTTTTTTTGTTGGTTTTTCATCAGTGATAAACCAGCTCCTAGCAACATCAAGCTTGGCTTGGTACCAGACCTGTTTCCCTTTCCCATGGGAGCTTAAAGTGTCTGCCTCTGTGCCTGTCTGCCTTTCCTACTATAAATATCTTCTCTGACACCAACCTACTGGAAAGGCAACTCTTCTGACTCCAACCAACCGGAGCAATGTCTGATCTAACAAGTAAAAGGGCTCAGCTTTAGAATGCCAAGTGTGCCCAAGATTGTAGACATCAACCAAAAATTTGGGGGCTCCTGAAGTCACCCAGACGTCCAACTAACTGGCTAAAATTGGTTGTTTCCACTACTCTCTCAAGTTGAATAATGTGCTGAAATGATGCAGAACATAGGAAGTGCTGTACTTACAGTTTTAATGTAGCAGAAAGGATACAAATCAGGACCAGCATAAAGCAGAGCCACGTGTGAAGTTTGGCAGGATGTAAATGCAGAGTTCCAATGTCTCGCACATGCCTACTTTTTCTATCCTCCCTTGTACAGGCATACCTCAGAGATTATTGAGGGTTCAGTTCCAGACCACAGCAATAAAGCAAGTATCGTAATAAAGTGAGTCATACAAATGTTTTGGTTTCCCAGTGTATATGAAGATTGTTTACACTATATTGTAGTCTATAAAGTGTACAATAACATTAAGTCTAAGAAAAAAAATACATACCTTAATTAACCCATACTTTATTGCTAATGAATGCTAACTATCATCTGAGCCCTCCAAGAGTTGTAACCTTTTTTTGCTGGTATAGTTTCTTCTCTTGGTGTTGATGGCTACTGAATGATTAGGGTAGTGGTTGCTGAAGGGTAGGGTGGCTATGGCAATTACATAAGACAATAATGAAGTTTGCCGCATTGGTTGACTCTTTTCTTTCACTAAAGATTTCTCTGTTTAATGCGATGCTGTTTGATAGCATTTTACCCACAGTAGAACTTCTTTCAGAATTGGGGTTAGTCCTCTCAAATCCTGCGGCTACTTTATCGATTAAGTTTATGTAATATTCCGAATCCTTTGTTGTCATTTCAACAATGTTCACAGCATCTTCACCAGGAGTAGTATCCACCTTAAGTAACTTCTTTGCTCATCCATAAGAAATGACTTCATCCATTAAAGTTTTATGATATTTCAGCAATTCAGTCACATCTTCAGGCTTCACTTCTAACTCCGGTTCTCTTGCTGTTTCCACCAAAAGTGCAGTAACTTCCTCAATTGAAGTCTTGAACTCCTCAAAGTCATCTATGACAGTTGGAATCAACTTTAAATTCTTGTTACTGTTGATAATTTGATATTCTCCCATGAATCATGTTCCAGGAATTGACGTAATATCAATTGCTATGTTTTAACAAACGGATGCAGTGCTGGAAGTCCTCACTTGTCTATGCCAAGAAATTTGGAAGACAGCTACCTGGCCAACCGACTGTTAGAGATCCATATTTCTGCCTATTCCCAAGAAAGGTGATCCAACCGAATGTGAAAATTATCAAACAATATCATTACTATCACAAAAAACTAAAATTTTGCTAAACATTGTTCAAAAGTGGTTGTAGCAGTATCTTGACAAGGAACTTCCAGAAATTCAGGCTGAATTCAGAAGAGGACATGGAACCAGAGATATCATTGCCGATGTCAGTTGGATCCTGGCTGAAAGCAGAGAATATCAGAAAGATGTTTACCTCTGTTTTATTGACTATACAAAGGCATTTGATTGTATGGATCATAACAAATTATGGATAACATTGCAAACAATGAGAATTCCAGAACACTTAGTTCTGCTCATGAGGAACCTGTAAACAGATCAAGAGGCAGTTGTTCATATAGAACAAGAGGATGCTGCGTGGTATAAAGTTAGGAAAGGTGTGCATCAGGGTTGCATTTTTTCACTGTATGCAATCTATATGCTGATCAAATAATCCGATAAGCTGGACTATATGAAGAAGAAAGGGGCATCAGGATTGGAGGAAGACCCATTAACAACCTGCCATATGCAGATGACACAACCTTGCTGAAAGTGAGGAGGACTTGAAGCACTGGTGAAAATCAACGGCCACAGCCTTCAGTGTGGATTACACCTCAACAAAGAAAACAAAAATCCTCACAACTGGACGAATAAGCACCATCATGATAAATGGAGAAATGATTGAAGTTGTCAAGGATTTAATTTTACTTGGATCCACAATCAACACCCATGGAAACAGCTGTCAGGAAATCAAAAGATGCATTGCGTTGGTCAAATCTACTGCAAAAGACCTTTTCAAAGTGTTGAAAAGCAAAGGTGTCATCTTGAAGACTAAGGTGCACCTGACCCAAGCCATACTATTTTCAATCGCATCATACGCACACGAAAGCTGGACAATGAATAAGGAATACCGAAGAAGAATCGACGCCTTTGAATTGTGGTGTTGGTGAAGAATATTGAATATACCATGGACTGCCAAAAGAACAATGAAGTTTGCCTTGGAAGAAGTACAACCAGAATGCTCCTTGGAAGGATGACGAGATTACATCTTACATATTTTGGACATGTTAATAGGGGGGATCAATCCCTGGAGAAGGACATTATGGTTGGTAAAGTACAGGGTCAGTGAAAAAGAGGAAGACCCTCAACGAGATGGATTGACACAGTGGCTGCAAGAATAGGCTCAAGCATAATGATTGTGAGAATCGTGCAGTACCAGGCGGTGTTTCGTTGTGTGGCGCATATGGTCACTATGAGTCGGAACTGACTTGATGGCACCTAACAGCAACCCATGAATCAGGAATGTTCCTAATGGCATCTAGAATGGAGAATCCTTTTCCGAAGGTTTTCAGTTTTGTCCACATCCAACAGAGCAATCACTATCGGTGGCAGCTATAACCTTACAAAATGTACTTCTTAATAAGACTTGAAAGTCAGAACTACTCCTTGGTCTACAGGCTGCAGAATGGATGTTGTGTTAGGCATGAAAACAACATTAATCTCCTTGTACCACTCCATCAGACCTCTTGGGTGATGAGGTGTGTTGGCAGTGAATGGTAATATTTTGAAAAGAATCTTTTCTACGTAGTAGGTATCAGCAACAGGCTCAAAATATTCAGTAAACCATATTGTAAACAAACGTGCCGTCATCCAGGCTTTGTCCATGTATAGAGCACAGGCACAGTAGCTTTAGCATAATTCTTAAGGGCCCTAGGATTTTTGGAGTAGTAAATAAGCATTGGTTTCAAGTTAAAGTCTCCAGCTGTATTAGCCCCTAACAAGAGAGCCTGTCCTTTGAAGCCAGGCATTGACTTCTCCTCTCTAGCTATGAAAGTCCTAGATGACATCTTCCAATATACCATTTTTTCTGCATTGAAAATCTGTTGTTTGGTGTACCTAAACAATTAGCTAGATCTTCTGGGTAACTTGCTGCAGCTCCTACATCAGCACTTGCTGCTTCACCTTTCGCTTTTATTTTATGGAGACGGCTTCTTTCCTTCATGAACCACCCCTGCTAGCTTCAGACTTTTCTTGTGCAGTCAACTCATCTCTCAGCTTTCGTAGAATTCAAGAGCGTTAGGGTCTTGCTCTGGATTAGGCTTTGGCTTAGGGGAATGTTGTGGCTGGCTTGATCTTCTATCCAGACCATTAAAACTTTCTGCATATCAACAATAAGGCAGTTTTGCTTTCCTATCATTCATGTGCTCACTGGAGTAGAACTTTTAATTTATTTGAGGAACTGTTCCTTTGCATCCACAATTTGGCTGTTTGGCACAAGAGGCCTTGCTTTTGGTCTATCCTGGCTTTTGACATGTTCTTCCCTAAGCTTAATCCTTTTAAGTTTTTGATTTAAAGTGAGAGACATGCAACTCTCACGTGAACACTTAGAGGCCATTGTTGTTAAGTGGTATCCAGTCGGTTACAACTCATAGTGACCCTGTGTACAACAGAAGGAAACACTACACGGTCCTGAGTCATCCTCATAATCGTTGTTACGATTGAGCCCATTGTTGCAGCACTGTGTCAGTCCATCTCATTGCGGGTCTTCCTCTTTC